AGATGCAGAGATTCCTAGAAGCCAGGAAGTCACTTAATGACCTAAGCTACTCAGCCAGGGACAAGGCCCCACGCTATCTGTATCTAAGGAGTTGTCCTAACTGAGCTCTGGCTGCTGGGTGCCATACAGAAATGGCAAGTCACAAGTGCCCAGAAACCAGCTTTTCCAAGCTAGAAAACCAGATTTTCATTGGCATCTCTCGATTTATTAATGTTAGCAACCAATTTGAAGACTCTTAGGACATCATTCTAAGGGCAGGACCATCCGTGGGCCTATGGGCTCTTAGTTGAGCCCCAGCAACAGGAATCTGGCATGGGAGAGGCTGGGGGGGCATGCTTTCAGAAGCCAGGAGGTGGGTAGAGGTGGTGCACACAGTTGGGATCTCTGCCAGTGTGACCTGGGCTGGGGGTTGCAGGGCAAGGGCGGGGTGCTAGCCCAGATCGAGAGCCAGAAAGTGCAGGACATCCTTGCCTTCTACCTGGGCCGTCTGGAAACCACCAATGAGGTGACTGACAGCGACTTTGAGACCAGGAACTTCTGGATCGGTGAGTGTCTGGATTGGTGGAGGGGTACAGTGATTATGGGGGCTTAATAACCACATGATTTCATGAATCCTCAGATGACCTCGTGAATCCTGAGGTGCCGCAGCCCAGCGCTACCACTAGCAGATAGCTAGAATAGGACAAGGGCTTGGAGTCTTAAACTGGTCAGTGGTCAGACTCCCACCCCAGGAGACAGATGAAGGAAGAGAACCATGGGAGACAGGAATTGGAAGCACTGAGAAGAGAGTTGAAGGGTTGGGGACCCAAAGGCATTAGGCAGCAGGGCTCGTGGGACTCAGGCTTTGTTCTCAGGGTCTCTGGGCTCTGAGTAGGATCCCCTGGCTCTCAGGAAGTGGGCAACTTTGACTCTCCTGGCCTTAGGACTCACCTACAAGATGGCTAAGGACTCCTTCCGCTGGGCAACGGGGGAGCACCAGGCCTTCACCAGTTTTGCCTTTGGGCAGCCTGACAACCAGGGGTGAGTGTGGGGTAACTGTGTCCTCCGCTGGGTCCTCTTCTTAACCTATGAAGAATCAACTCAACCTGCCTGGCCAAGCCTAAAAGCATCACAAAAGCTTGGGGGTGGGCCCGGCTCCTGGTAGCTCCATCTGCAGCTCAGGGACATGTGGGACTCGCAGATATAGTTGGGCTCATGAGGTGGAGGGTTTAAGAGTCTCCCAGACTCCTGAACTCTTTCCTCCACCCTGAGCACTGTCTATCCTGGTCTGGCAGATTTGGCAACTGTGTGGAGCTGCAGGCATCCACTGCCTTCAACTGGAATGACCAACGTTGTAAAACTCGAAACCGTTATATCTGCCAGTTTGGTAAGGCCACCTTCCCTCAGGTCCTCTCTTTTGGTTCCTGACCCTTGGGGTACTGATGGCCCACTCCGGGTTGCTATAGTCAGGTCACAGCACAGACTCTGATCACATAGAACCACAGAGGATGTCCTGTTTAGGAACTTTTACCTGCAAGTGTCTGAGGCCCAGAGGGAGGAGGCAGGCTCAGCATCACATAGCAAGTCAAAGCAAAGCTAGGACTGGAACCACATTTTGTTGGGGATTTCTCCAAGGGTTCTTTCCTATGTTCCCCGATTGCATAAAGACCAGTTAGCCAGGCGCTCATGCCTTTAATCCAAGCTACTCAGGAGGCTGAGATCTGAGGATTGTGGTGGTTCAAAGCCAGCCCAGGCAAGAAAGTCTGTGAGACTCTTTTTCTTTCTTTTTTTTTTTTTTGGGTCCGGTCGTGGGGCCTGAACTCTGGGCCTGGGTGCTATCCCTCAGCTCTTCAGCTCAAGGCTAGCACTCTACCACTTGAGCCACAGCGCCACTTCCAGCTTTTTTCTTATGTGATGCTGAGGAATTGAACCCAGGGCCTCGAGCAGGCAAGGCAAGTGCTCTACCACTGAGCCACCTTCCCAGCCCTCTTTTTCTTTTTTAAATCAGTTGTGAGCTTGAACACTGGGCCTGGGCACTGTTCCTCAGTTCTGCAGCTCAAAGTGAGCGTTATATCGCTTGAGCCACAGCGCCACTTCCAGTTTTCTGGTAGTTAATTGGAGATGAGAGTCTCACAGACATTCCTGCCCAGGCTGGCTTTGAACTGTGATCCTCAGATCTCAGCCTCCTGAGTAGCTAGGATTACACGCGTGAACAACAGGTGCCTGACTTCCATGAGACTCTTATCTCCTACTGACCACCAGAAAACCCAAAGTAGTCCTGTGGCTCAAAGTGGTAGAGTACTAGCCTTGAGCTGAAGAGCTCAGGGACAGCGCCCAGGCCCAGGGTTCAAGCCCCACAACTGACCTCCCCCCCTCAAAAAAAAAGACCAGTTAACTATGGTGGAGGGCAGGGGTATAATCTGGCCCAGAGCCAGGTCCCAGCACCTGTTAGAAGGATTTAGAGCTCCCCAAAGAATCATGGCTATGGGTACTTCCAGATTGAGTGTAGCAGGGTTCTCATTCCAAGACTTCCTGGGCTGCCATCAAACCTTATTGTGCGCTGCTTCCTTTTCAGCAGAGGAGCACATTTCACGATGGAACCCAGGGCCCTGAGGATGGCCAGACATCTCTACTGCCAGCCCTGGGATGCATCAACCCTCCTTGCCTGACTGCTCACTTATGAGGAACAGGGGCCCAGCTAGGATTGCATGTCTCACATCCAACAAAATCTCAGACCATGAAGGATAAGGAAATGGAACAGGAAGTGCTAGTGAATCCTGTGAAGAAGGGATCGTAGAGGAATCTGGTGTAAAAGGACAGCCTGGGACCCTCAGCTTACCTTTGATTGGTGAGATGGCTTCAACAGGATGCTGAAGCAGAAGCCATAGCCAGTGGCCAGAAGAGGCCACTCTCCTCCATCTCGGCCAAACCCTCTAGGGCAACTGGAGCTTTTTGGGTAATGCATCCTGCAAGGGATTAAACTAAGTTATGAATCAGATGGACTGGCAATTGCTTGTGACCCAGGAGGATCCTGGGAAAATCAAAGGGTCCTATCCTATTTCCTTTGTTCCTTTACTCCTCACCTTATAATCCAGGCCCTTCTGGATGTTTTAGACGACTCAGTAGTTTAGAAGATCACACTCTTTCCCTCACTGATGTGTGTGTGTGTGTGTGTGTGTGTGTGTGTGTGTGTGTGTGTGTGTGTGGAGTGCTTTCACATCAGAGCTGAAAGTAAAATCAGAATCTATAGTCCCACTCCCTCCTCCAGCTCCTCAAACATCATAGCTGGCAGTAACAAAACACCATGTGTCAGACTCAGTAATCAACACCGGTCATCTGTGAACACATCTCTCACACAATCTCGTTGAGAAGGGAGTACTACTATCTACATTTTACAGTTGAAGAAAAGGAGGCAGAGAGTGGTTGAGTGACTCATCCAAGAAAACACAGTCTGGCTAGCATCGAATCTTTCCGTAACCTTTTCCTGACTGGCGTGTTTCATGGCGATGGGATGGGAGGGCCCTACCGTGGGAAGCCTCAGGCTTCCAGGCCGGCTTGCCCAGTGTCCCTCCCACTCCTGCTGCCACGTAGGAGACAAAATGGGCCCCTGGCTCTCCCACCTTGGTCCTGTCTGGTAGTCAGACATGGGCCTCAACTCTGCCCTCCGGATGCGAGACTTGACTTCTCCATAGGATCGCCCCAGGATGCCTAGGGCCTCCGGGTACCACTTCCAAGTTCATGTAGTGGGGAAAAGGGGGGGGAGGGGAAGGAGGACGCATGCGCATCCTTGACACCTAGACCCTGCCCCCTTTCTGCTGGGCGGGGCCCCATCACAAACCTAGTCACGCCCCCTCAGAGCCCCGCCCACACCAGCTTCCCACCTGCTGGCTCTTGTGGCCCTGCCACTGCCACTACTGCTCGTATTTGTCACCTGGTGACCTGACGTTCGCTACCTCGTCCATGTTCATCCGTGGAAGGTGGCGTGCCGCCTGGTGGGCCCTTTATGGGTATCAGCCGAGGGTCAGACGTCGTGTGCGCCTCTCCAGGGTCGGGGGAAGGCCCCGTGTGTGCCCCTTGCTGGAAGGTGGGCCTCAAACTCAGGACTGCCGCCCCCCATGGGCAACACTGTGTCTGAGTTGTTTCACACCAGAATAATACTCTACCACTTGAGCCACACCTGTTCCCAGCTTTTTGCTGATTAATTGAGAGTTAAGAGTCTCATTGACCTTTCCTGCAGGGGCTGGCTTCCAACCTCAATCCTCAGATCCTCCTATCTCAGCCTCCTAAGCTAGAATTACAGGTGTCTGAGCCACACTGATCACACTGGCTTCAGTGTGATCTTTGTAAGCTTCTAAGGCAGGAGCCACTGGGTCCCTCAAAGCCTTGCCTTTGATGGGCGCTTTGTTCTAGGGGATCACAGGATTAATTGTCTCACCATGGCACCTCACGGGCTGCTGACATCCTGTCTCTTAATACTAGTTGGATTTTGTCTGTGGTCTGGCCACCTGCTAACCTTAGCTTGTCCCAGCTTCCTTCAGACCTTCTTGTTCCGTTCACTCCTGGTCCTATTTTGGTATGAACAAAAAATTCTTGGCTTTAAGCCACAGAAAATTCTGGCAACTAAGCAGAAACGAGAGCTCAGTGGAAGATACTTGTTAGTGCCCATGGACTCGAGGGTGGAAGAATAAGATCTGGAAGAAATCATGCAGCAGAGTTGATGGGCAGAAACCACAGCTGGCACCACCGAAGCAAGACAAAGATGCCACCATCTTTGAAAGCTGATGGTGCTGTTGCTACCACCAGTTGCCAAAGTGTTGCCTCTTTCCAGCAGCAGTTTTAACTCAGAATTGGTCTGTGGTTTTGCCTGGAAGAGTTATGCTAGGTGCCCAAGTCGTAGCTGCAGGAATGATAGGAAAGGAGGGCAGAAAATGTAAGGTTCTGTCTCAACATTTGGGGATATGGAGAATACAGGAAGAAGGTTCAGATGTGGGACAGCCAAAAGAGAATGACACCTCCACTACATGAAATTGCTGGTGCATCAGCCAGGACTTCGAGACAGGACATCCAGTAGGAACTGATATGCAGAACCTATGGCTCCTTTGTATTTTCCTCTTTAAAATGTCTCCTGATGCTGAGTACCATAGCTCATGCATGTAATTCCAACTATATTGAGACATAGGCAGGAAAATCATGGTCTGAGGCTGGCCTCAGAAAAACACAAAAGAGCCTATCTGAAGAATAACCCAAGCCAGGTGCTGATGGCTCAAGCCTGTAATCCTAGCTACTTGGGAGGTTGGGATCACAGTTTGAAGCCAACCCAGGCAGGAAAGTCTGTGAAGCTCTTCTCTCCAATTAACTACCAGAAAACAGCAAGTGGTGTTGTGGTTCAAAGTGGTAGCGCTCTAATCTTGAGCAAAAGAGCTCAGGGATAGCATCCAGGCCCCAAGTTCAAGCCCCATGACCTAAAGCAAAAAGGGATGGAGTTGTGGTTCACATGGTTAGAGTGTTTACAAATGCAAATCCTTGAGCTTAAATCTCAAAGTGAAAAAAAGTTTTATTGCTGGTTTCCAGTACTGTATCAACAACAACAAAAGAAATAATATTCTCCTCCTAACATTTAGCATCATATGCTTAAGTGGCAGCCATAAAATTCCACATAAACCTTCAAATAAAATATGGGCAAGGGGGGCTGGGAAGGTGGTTCAGTGGTAGAGTGCTTGCCTTGCATCCATGAGGCCTGGGTTCGACTCCTCAGCACCACATAAGCAGAAAAAGCCGGAAGTGGCACTGTGACTCAAGTGGCCTCACAACCAGAAAAAAAAGAGGGGGCTAGGGGTAGGGGCTTTAAATTTGAATTTCAAATCTATTCACTTTACTCCAATGGATCCAGGCACTGGAGGCTCATGCCTGTAATCCTAGCTACTCAGGAGGCTGATCTCTGAAGATCATGGTTCCAAGTCAGCCCAGTCCATGAGACTTCTCTCCAATAAACCATCAAAAGCCAGAAGTAGAGCTGTGGCTGAAATGGTAGAGCATTAGCCTTGAGCTAGGGACAGCACCCAGTCCCTGAATTCAAGCCTCAGGACTCACACACATACACACACACACACACACACACACACACACACACACACACACACACACTTGCTTCAGTGGAGTTTCATAAAATTTTACTGGCTTTTCCAATCACTGAAGAGTTGGGTGATTCCCTCCACTTTCTGTGCTGATTTTTCTCTTTTAAGGTAAACAACCTAGGTCTGGGAAGTTGTTGGTCTGAAGACAAGTTTGTGAACTTGAGATTGTTTTGAAAAAGGTGCTTCTAGCTCTGAGCCGCATTGGTTCTCAGTAGTAGCCAGCAAACAGGGGCTTAGCACAGGACAGGTGCAAGGCGTGGGCTTGGGGCTTGGTGCACAGGCAGGCCAGCCTGAGAGTGGCTGGAGAGAAGCTCTCAGTCCTGGGCAGGAGGCAAGAGAACACTGGAGAGTTAACCCGGACTGGAGCAGAGTATCTTCTCAAAGGACGAGAATGCCTTTTAATGGTACCACCCCAAATTCTGAAGCCTGGGCAATGGGGCTGATGCTGATCGGGGGTTCAGTCTGAAGAAAATGGCACAACTTCCTTGACCCTTGGGGGGGACCCCTTTTGTTTTGTAATGTTCAGTGGAGACCATTTACCTTTGTCTAGGAATATGTCCAGAATGACTTCATAGAGTCAGGCTCCAGCTCGAGGTGGGGGACCAGACCTCTGTGAGGCCAAGCCAGGAAACCTACTATGGACTGATGCTGTCTCCCCCAAAGCTGAGTCACAGGACTAGGTTCCATGCACACAGGGCCCTCTCTCCAGTTCCCCTTCATTTGTCCTCTCCCCTCTGCCTCACTTTCCTGTTCTCTCTTTAGATACAGATATGGCTGGAGAATCCAGACCTGGCCCAGCCCGGCCTAGCCAGAAGAGGCAGCAGGACACAGACATTTTCTGGTGAGTCTATACTGGTAGCTTGTTGGCAAGGGAGGCTGGTTTGCTCGTTTGTTTGAATTTCCCAGTTGAGTTCCCCTGAAATGGAATGAGGACCCCTAAATCTGCTTGCCCATAGGAGAATGAGTAGGTCTCTCATCTCTAAGTTTTGTCTGTAAACTGAAGGGAGTTTTTTCAGCACATTCTAGCACCCTTTTATTTTTTTCTTTCTTCTTTTTTTCCTCTGCGTGTATGTTCTGGTACTGAGGCTTGAGTTTAAGGTCTCATGCTCTTGTTTGGCTTTTTCTGCTTAAGGCTGGGCACTTGAGCCACAGCTCCACTTCTTTTTGTTGGTTATTTGGAGATAAGAGTCCCTCAGTCTTTTCTGCCTGGGTTGGCTTCGAACCATCATCCTCAGATCTCAGAACGGCTGAGTAGCTAGGATAACAGGCATAAGCCACCACTGCCTGGCTCTAGCACCATTTCTAACTGATAAATCCAGCCACCATCCTGAGGATTGGGTGGTTTCGACCTTGCTGTGAGGGGAGGAGGTGGACACTGGGTGAGCAACACTGCTGCTACTAGTTACTCTTGGAGATGGTCTCAGTTCATCTCCCTGGAAGTGGGGTGGCAGGGCCGGGCTGTGGGTGACTCTAAGATGCCTCTGTAGCTCCAGCTCGATTTCAAAGGTAGTTAGGTCAAATCCCTTCCTGCCAGCAGTGGCCTGAGTGGGCGTCACCCCGTGGAGTCCAAGAGTGAGAAGCTTTTCACTGCGCTTGTTGGGGCTCCTGAGTAGGTGAGAATTGTGGTGGAAGGATTGGCCCCCACACGTTCCCTTCTGCCCCACATGGTCACCTTGAGGACTCTTGAAGAGATGGTTCCGGCCCCCAGAGCTATTTCTGCTGTGGTGGTGTTTCTCTTTTAGTGGGAATTTCTTGCACACTTCAACCACTATCTCACAGGCCATTTCCCCTGCGGAACAACGAGCAAGGGAGGGGACTAGTTCTCAGTGCCTGCGAAAGAAGCCGGGCGCCCTCAGCCCTGGGGCCCAGCGAGAGGGCCGCTGAAGTGCACGCACCCTGCCTGCTTGCTCTCTCTCACTTTACACACTTATCTCTAGCTAGTTAGGACAGTGCAAACCAGAATGAGACAAAGAACGAGTAAAAAAAAAATAAATAAAACAAACAAGAAAGGTACTCCGGGTAAAAAAAAACAAAAAAAAAACAAGGTACTCCCGGTAAAAGCAAAAGTACTCGTGCATTGGCCGGGAATCGAACCCGGGCCTCCCGCGTGGCAGGCGAGAATTCTACCACTGAACCACCAATGCTGAGACGATCTTCCCTCTCGCGGGGAGACCCAGGTGGTTCATCCCAGCCACGGCATTGGCTGAAGGGGTCACCGCCCCGAGAGTGAAGGGTTCGCGGTCCTCAGACGCCCGTCTGGGCCGCTGCTCCCCTCGGGGAAGTGCCCCACGACCCCGAGGAGGGATCCGACCCTCCCGCCTGCGGCTGCGCGGCTCCTTCCCCTCCCTCCGCGGCCGGAATCAGCCGCCGCCAAGCGTTTCCGGGCCGCCCCCCAGAGCTCCAGAAGCCAGCAGTGGGGGCAGCCGGTCCGCCCGCCGGCCGCTCTGAGGACCCAGCAGCCCGGGCGGGCCGGGCCGGCACCCCAGAATCAGAAAGGTATTCCAAACTGGTTCCCCTCTCCCAAGCAGCCTCCGCCCGCCCCCAGCTCATCCCCGCCCCCGGCAGCGGGGGTCCCCGCAGGCTCTTCCTGCCAGTTATCTCTACGATCCTGGGACCCCGATTCTCCTACCTCCGCCCCCCCCCCCCCCCCCCCCGCCTCCGGAGTGTGGGCTAGAAGGGCTGAGCGCGCCACTGTGGGCCTGGGACCTTTCCAGAGCTTCCACGGCTTGCTGGAAAGGGGCGGGTGGTCTGGCTACAGCTCCAGCCCCAACCCTGCCTGCGGGCCCTGCCTGTGTTGGGCCCCGCTTATGTCCTGGCAATCGCCACGGCGGGATTAACGCCTCTCACACCCCCACTGTAGCTTTGGGTTGTGACTTAACTCTTCCCTTTCATCCTTTGCCAGTCTAAGATCCAAGATGTCAGCAGTGTCTGCCATTCCCCAGCTGACTAGCCCCAGCTGAGTGGCGGGCAGGTCCAGGCTGACTGGCCAGACATCCAGAGGCCATGGTTCTGCTACCTAGAAGGGACTGGGGGTAGCACTTATCAGAAACCAACCAGGAGGACGCTGGTTTGCTGGGATCATGGGCAAGTTCCTGGGAGTTCTAGTGGAGAATCCTGGCATCCTGGCTTGTTGTTTCCCCAAGTTCAACTGGGTACCAAGCAGGGACTCTGGCCCAGGACATGACTCCTCCCCTTCCTTCCCATTTGTCTCTGCAGTAACTATGCTCCAAACTATGAGCTGCACAGAGAAGGCATCCCCTACAGGTGGGTGAGTCTTGTCCCCTGGGTCCTCTAATGGAGCACGTGGAGCTGGATGTCCTGACTATGGCTCCATCCTGTCCATTTAGGGTGTATGGATACCAGAGGATCCCCCCACTCATCAAGCAAGTGCCTACCAAGATTCGGAGGACTCCTGTGAGCCTGGGGGTGAAGAGCAGCCGGAGCCCCTACAAAGCCTCCAGGAATAACCACCTGCCTCTCAGGCAGATAAAGTGTGAGAGACAAGGCGCAGACTTTGCCTGTAGAATTAGGGAGGAACTGGGCAGTGTCACCCAAAGTGAAGGCGGGTCCCCCCTGTGCCTGTGGCCCCTGCCCAGCATGAGTACCAACTCTAGCCTCTCTTCCAGCAGTGCACACTGCCGAGCTGCACTTCATCAGGGAGGCACTGAGCCAGATCAGAGCCCAGGTGGACGGCCTGCTGGAGAGTCTGCAGCACACCGGCCAGCAGAGGGATCAGTCTACAGGTCAGTCACCCTCGCCTGTGTCCACTTTATACTCTCCTAAAGATGCCAGGGATCCTAGAGGCTCCCTGCCTGCAAGCCTCACCTCCCCAGAATGCACCTCTTCTCCATTCCCTCTGGCTCTTCCTGTGGCATTGTCACCGGATAGCCTGGCTCCCTCAGCAGGGAGCCAGAGCGCCACCCATCCACCTGGAGCCCTAGAGATCCCATCACTACTTGTTGGGCCCCTGAAGGGGTCACAGGGCCCTGTAAACTTGGTTATTGGTTACTAACTCTGCAGAGACAAGGGACAATGAAGAAAACTGGGGCTCTAAAAGTGGGGGCTCCTCATGCAGAATCACTGAGTCCCAGCAGGAGCCCAAGGGCCTAGGGGCCCATCCAGAGGAAGACAGTTCCAAGGGAAACACAGACACTGTGCAGGCAGTGAGTGGTCTACCTTCCCTCCCCTCTCCCCAAACTCGTGTTTGGGTCATTGTGGCCTCCAAGAGACTTATGCAGGAGTTCCAGTAGTGGTATGTGGGAAGGCTCATGACCCAGGAGAAAGGGTTCTGCCCTATATAATATGCCAACTCAGCCGGGCGTTGGTGGCTCACACCTGTAATCCTAGCTACTCAGGAAGCTGAGATCTGAGGATCACAGTTCAAAGCCAGACCAAGCAGGAAAGTCCTTGAGACTCTTATCTCCAATAAACCACTAGAAAACTGGAAATGCCACTGTGGCTCAAGCAGTAGAGCACTTGTCTTGAGCTGAAGAGTGGAGGGATAGCACCCAAGCCCAGAGTTCAAGCCCCACTACTGACAAAAATTAAATAATATGCCAACTCAGTTTGACTGTACTGGGGGCATTTGCCAGGCATTTGGGTTAGTCCTAGGCTGAAATATCATCTGGAAAAGAGGGGAGATTTGTAAAGGGAATGTCACAGGTATGTCATCTCACATTCCTGCTAAGAACGTCTTAAGCTTTTAAACCCAAACTCTTTTATTTTTGGCTATACTAGTGTCAGAACTCAGGGCTTTGAACTTGCTAGGCAGGCACTCTCATCTCTGACATGGCTCCAGCAATTTCTTCTTTTTTTGGCTGCACTATACCATGTTCCCTAGGGAAGCTGTGGTCCATAAATGTTTCTGGATAGACAAGTAACAAACTTAGAACTCCATGTTCCAAACTTGTATCTCCATGTTCCATAGTGGTTCTTTTGTTGTTGTTTTTTGGGTCCAGTCGTGGGGCCTGAACTCTGGGCCTGTGCACTGTCCCTCAGCTCTTCAGCTCAAGGCTAGTGCTCTACCACTTGAGCCACAGCGCCACTTCAGGCTTTAATTTTTTGCTTATGTGGTGCTGAGGAATCGAACTCAGGGCCTCATGCATGCAAGGCAAGCGCTCTACCAGAGCCACCTTCCCAGCCCCCATAGTGGTTCTTTTCTTGCACTTGCCAAGCAAGTGTTCTTCCACTGAGCTGAATCCCCAACCCCTGTTCCATGGTTTTTTTTTTTTGGGGTCTGGTCGTGGGGCCTGAACTCTGGGCCTGGGCGCTGTCCCTCAGCTCTTCAGCTCAAGGCTAGCGCTCTACCACTTGAGCCACAGCGCCACTTCTGGCTTTTTTCTTTTTGCTTATGTGGTGCTGATGAATTGAACCCAGGGCCTCAGGCATGCAAGGCAAGCGCTCTACCAGAGCCACCTTCCCAGCCCTGTTCCATGGTTCTTAATGTGGGCTAAACCTACACTGCTTCTTAGGTTTATCCCAACAAGGGCAGGGCTGCTGAGGGGAGTTGAACAGTGGTAAATTCCTTTTCTCTTCAAAGGGACTCGAGAGTTCTGCTCAGGCCCGAGTGGGGCATAACAGGCTACATGGAAAGAATGCTTTATTTTGCCTGCTGTTTCTGGAAGAGATTGGGTGTGTGTGTAGAGGGGGGAATGTATGTAACATGTCCAATCCACAGCACTCCTTTCATTGAAAAAAAAAAAAAAAAGTCTAGGCTGAGAATGTAGCTTAGTGGTAGAATGCTTGCCTAACAAGCATGAAGCCCTGGTTTCAATTCCTCAGTATAAGTAGAAAAAGCTGGAAATGGTGCTGTGGTCAAGTGGTAGAGTGCTAGCCTTGAACAAGCTCAGGGACAGTGCCCAGGCCCTGAATTCAACCCTCAGGACTGACAAAAAACAAATGAGTTAAAAAAACAAAACAAGGGGCTGGGAAGGTGGGCTCAGTGGTAGAGCGCTTGCCTTGCATGCCTGAGGCCCTGGGTTTGATTCCTCAGCACCACATAAGCAAAAAAAAAAAAAAAAAAGCCGGAAGTGGCGCTGTGGCTCAAGTGGTAGAGTGCTAGCCTTGAGCTGAAGAGCTGAGGGACAGCGCCCAGGCCCAGAGTTCAGGCCCCATGACCAGATCCAAAACAACAAAAACTCCACAAAACACATTATACAGGGAGAGCAGGGAGACTCAGATGTATACAGCCCTGTTTCTTTGCTATTTTGTGCCTCCTTGACCTCTAATCCATGGTCCTTTTATTTATTTTTTCATTCTTTCTCTACAGATGAAGAAGCAAGCATCTCACTAGGAGGGCAGCCAATAGGAGACGGGAACCCTTCCAGGACCATCAGCTCCACAGGCTTTCTTTTTGGATGCCCTTCAGCTGTACCCAAGTAACCAGAGGCACTCATTCTGGAGCTAGGGCAATGGGAGTGAAGGCATGGTTCAGCCATCAGCCAGGCCTCCCCAGTGGTTGCATGGAGGCTGTTTTCAGATGAGTCTTAGGGTATGGTAGGGAACGAGACCTGTGACCGCCCAACTGCAACTCCACATCTTAAATGCAAATATGCCTTAGCTGCTCTGCCATCCTCACACACCAGTCCTGGTGGTGTGGAACACAGTCCAGCAGCCAGCCACAGAGGTGAAACACATCTGTGCTCCCTCAGCCTGACACTGAGCGGTAAAGGCCCTTTCTGATTCTTAACCCCATGCACCCCACAAAGCCTTCTGAATAGAACTTTTTTTTTTTCTTGAAGGCATCTGGGAGTGTCATTTTCATGTCTCATTTTTTTTTTCTCACTAGTATATATTTCAGATCTGCACTAGAAAAATGTTAGAAGGAAAAAAATGTGTATTTCTTCTTCCTGGTCAGAGATCTGTGTTGTGGTTCCAGAACTCTTGGTCCTTGAGCTATCTTGCACCAGCTCTTGGTAGAGAAGCTGAGAAGCACCCTGAACTTCCCAAAATTTGAAGGTACCAACCTTCTGGCCTACTGAATAGCAATCTCTCATTGCTTCTTCCAGTCCAGCCCCAAGCACAGAGCAGGATTCTGTTGCCATGAAGAGAAGACTCCTGATCAGTCAGGCAAAAGCTCCGCCAGATGCATCTGATTTCTCAATATCCAAATCTTCCTCCTGGCAGCTCACCTGCCTTCCCCCAGTTCTGGCTGCTCAGGCCTGTGCTCCCAGGAGCCAGGGCTGAATAAGAGTCTGTGTTCTCACCAGACCTCTCGTTGTGCTGCTCTATTGCCAAGAAATAGGATTGTATAACTACTCAAAGAAAACAATTTAAATGATAATGGGATCTGGTGGCCTTTGGAAACTGCTCTCCTGAGCTATGATCCCCCACCCTGCACCTAAGGATGGAACACACAGAGTACTCTTTGGGGAAGGAAACTTAAATATTATCACAACTCAAGTGACAACCCTAAGACTCATATGTGAGTGGGCAGCTTTTCCTCCTCCAAACCACACTTCCCACACCAATTCCAGCAGCTGCTTCACCCAGCCTCTTCTGCTCACACTGGCCTAGGGACAGAAACATTAAGGTAGGGCTGCCCTGAGACCTTGAACACACTACCAAGAACATACTACCCAGCTCAGAAGATCCCCACTCTTTTAAGTCCTGTATCAAGAATCACAACATAAAGATTTGTTTTCAAGTATATAAAAAAAAAAAGATTCTTTTTATGTTTTAGCTAGGGTAGTGAAAAGGCACAGCCTCTCACTTGCATCCTCTGGGGGGGGGGGGGGGGGGGGGGAGGGAAGGTATCTCAGTTATGTCAGAGCCCTTGGCCGGCCAGCCCGGTCAGTCAGTCCTTTACTTGACCATTGCTCCAGCCTCCTTTTCCTGGCAAGTCCAGATGAAATTCTTCCCAGCTGGAAAGTAGGGCTGTTTTCACAGGTGTCTCCTACGGGGTCGTAGCTGGGAGCCAGCTCAAGTAGCAAAGTCTCTTAAATGTAAAAAGCTGTTCCAGGCCGGAAGTCTGTAACTCTTATCTATTCAGGAGGCTGAGATCTGAGGATGGAGGTTCTAAGCCAGCCTGGGTAGGAAAGTCCCTGAGACTCTTTTCTCCAGTTAACCACCAAAAACGCTGGAAATGGAACTGTGGCTCAAGTGATAGAGGCCTAGCTTTGAGCAAAAAATGCTCTGGGACAGCACTCCGGGTTGTGGCCCACCCCTTCCCCCCAAAAGGCCGTCCCATGCATCAGCTGGTGCCGCCAGCTCCCCAAATCTATCCTCTCCAGGTGCTTCAGCTTCTTGACTCCTGTGGTCAGTTCATCCAGGGTAACTATGGCAGCACGGGGGCAGCGTCCCACAGCTCAGGCTCCTGATTCAGGAAGGGGCGGCGGCGCCCCTCCGACGGGCAGCCCGCACCAGACACTGCTGCAGCACCGGGTAGAGACGTTGGCAGCCCTCGAGGCCCAGGCGTACGGCCTCGGCCCAGCTCTCAGTCTGGCCGCCCTCCCCGCTGCCTAGCACCCCGGCCACCTGGTTGAGCACCGGCATGAGCGCCACGGTGAGGCCGGCGGCGGCGTGCTCCTCCTCGAGCCGCGTGGGGTCCAGCAGCCAGGTGGGCGCGGGTCCCGGAGCGAGACTCAGGCCGCAGCCCACTACCAGGTCGTACATCTCCACTCCCGCGTCGGCCAGGGCGAGCGCGGCGGCCGTGAGCGCGGCGCCCAGCGCCGAGCCGCCGTCCTCCAGCAGCAGCGCCGACACCTCGAGCTGCGCGCGCGGGTATCGGCCCAGGCGCACGGCGGGCTCCAGCGCCTCCTGCAGCGCCAGCGCCAGCTCGCGCTCCTCGCCGCCGCCCGGGGGCGCGCGGCGCCGGCGGCCCGAGAAGGGCGCGCGCCGGAAGTCGCAGATCAGGCGGCCGCGCAGCGCGGCCGGGGCTTCGCCCCCAGTCCCGGCCGGTCCGCCGCCGCGCTCGCCGCCCTCGGCCTGGCGCGGGCCCGACACGGCGCACAGCACCTTGGTGCCGCCCGCCTCCAGGTAGGCCGAGCCTTTGGCCTGGCTCAGCAGCCCGGCGCGCGCGTACACCGGCCGCAGCCGCGTCGGGTCACGGGCGGCGGGCGCCTCGTCCTCGTCGGCCGCGTACAGTTGCGGAGGCTGGGACTCCTCCGGCCCGCGGATGCGGCGGTGGTCCCCCGGCATGGCGGCGCACGGCGTGGGAGCCGCTTCCGCCGGCCGCGCCTCGCCCAGGGCTCTTCCGCCGGCTTGAAGCCGCGCGCCCGCGCGGGGGCTGTCGGGAGAGTGGCGCGCGGCTGCACTGCCCCCTGGCGGCCTGGAGGGAGAACGCCACAACACTGGGATCCTGGGTGCCCCTCGTGGCCCGCGCGCTCTAGCTAGGGGTTGACTTGATCTGGACTTAGGCCCAGGCCAGGGTCCCTACTCTCACTACTTTTAGGTCATACAAGTGGGGATGGTGGACGAGTCAATAGGGTAGAGACAATAGCTGCCTCTCTGCCCCTTCTTCCCCAATACCTGCAATACACCTGACAATACCAGCATCTTCAAGCCAGGGACCTACGACAGTGCATTCCTCCCGAGAGGCCAGGAGAAAGGCACATCTCTGCTGAACTTATTGATGCCTCTCCGTTTCACCCCACCTCCAATAAACATCCTGAAGTAATCAAAGGGTCATTCCCAAAGTTCAGGGGGTTGGAGCCAGTGAGGACTGTAAACAGAAATCAGCTAGGGCCTCGGCCTATATTCTAGACACCCAGGGAGCCAGAGGTTATGTGACAGGGGCCCCTTACAGGAAGGATGGAAACGGCATGGCATCATCAAGGTATTGCACATGGTCCTTTTATTCTCTGCAATTAAAAAGGTTTCCTATTGCAGACCCAGAATCCTGAGGGTGGGGAGAAAACTTGCTGCAGGAACGAGCATGAGGATAATTAAATAGCGATTAGGGTAGTGGTTGTAGACTGATGGTGCTGATGTGAAAAGCTCCGAGCAGTAAATACAAAGGGACAATGAGTCATAGAGTGGATCCAGGTGTGTTCCAGTTACTTCTAGGTTAGGACGGATGGGGCTACTTAGAGGTCCCAAAAGTCAACTGTCCTTGTGGCAGATGGAAAGCTTCTGGCTAGACTGATGCATCTGGCTGACAGACACTTCCAGTGAGGGCTGTCCCTCTGGCTCAGTTCTTGACGTCTCCTAGGCGGAGCTGAGCAAAGGAGGTGGCCAGCTGCAGCGCCTCCTGCAGGCAGCCCACATTTTTGCCCGTGGCCTGGGCAGACACATCCTTGCCACCACCTTTGCCATCCATCAGGCCTGACACTTGCTGCACCCACTCACTGGCTTTCAGGCCCCGGTTGGCTGCATTCTGGAAGATAGGAAAGGGAAGTGGGAGTTAGAACTGAGGATGGGCTGGAGAGGGTGAATGAAGGGACAAAAAAGTTAAAGTAGCTATTGACATCTACCCTTGCCCAGGGTAATGCTACTAGAGGTCCAGATGGACTCTATCGAGTGTCATAGGGGAGCAGCCACTGGCTACTGTCAGAACAAAGGCAAGTGGCAAAGCCAGGTATCAGCCAGCACAGTTAAACATTCACCATCAAGAAGGCCTGAGATGAGCCGGGCGCCAGTAGCTCACACCTATAATCCTAGCTACTCAGGCGGCTGAGATTTGAGGATCGTGGTTCAAAGCCAGCCCAGGCAAGGAAAGGAAAGTCTGTGAGACTCTTATCTCCAATAAACCACTAGAAAATCAGAGCCCTGTGGCTCAAGCGGTAGGCACTCGCCTTGAGCTAAAGAGCTGAGTATAGCACCCAAGCCCAGAGTTCAAGCCCCATGACTGAAAAAAAAAAAAGGCCCGAGATGAAGGGCACTGGAGGTGACAAACAGTTGGGCAGAAGATCACGTTTCCTAAAGGAGCTCCACAAACACAAACACCAAGAACCAAGCTCAGAAGCGACATGGCACTTCCGCTAGCACAATGGATTCAGGGTTTGGCGCCAGACTGCAGGCAGTTCTGACCTGGGGAACTTGACACAAGCATGTTATCTTGCCAGCCTCATTGTCCACCGTGAAGAGCATGGCCGATGTCTGAGGGGAGTGTGTCTTGAATAGCTTCAAGGCTTCATTCAGAGCCTGTGGATAGAACCTGGTTTCAGGACACAGCTCTGGGCAGGGGACCCTGCTCTCCACAAGGGAATTTGCAGAGTTCAACCCTTAGAGCAGGACCCTAGCCCCTTCCAAGAGCTCAGATGGCCAAGAACCAAGCACAGGGCCCTGCCCACACTCTAGCTCTGAGTTCTACCTTCTACCTCTGGGGAGCTGGTCCCCCTTCTGGTCACCAGATCTCCCTTAGGGTTCAGTCTGACTTCAATCCTAGAGTAACCCAGAGCTACAAAGCCCACCCATCAGCCACCAAGGGCTGATGAGGCAGGAGGGAAGGGGACATGAGGCAGACAGACAGGGCAGGCCTGAACCCCAACCCCTGGTTGCCTTGGCTGAGGCGCCGCTCTCCATCTCCAGGATGACCAGGGGCTGGTTGGGGTTACTGTCAATGAGCTGCTTTGTCTTCTCCAACACCTGTAACCAAATCCAGGAGAGAAGTTCAGGCCATGGGCCTAGACCCCCCAAACCCAGGCAGCAGTCTTTCCAGTTTCTCGGAGGAAATCTTGACTCCCTTCCAGTCACCCACGCCGCTAGGACTCACTCGCTTCTGGACATCAGCTTTGCTGGCCCGGTCAAGGTCATCCATGACTTTCTTCAGAGATTTCAGAGTCTCCCTCAGTTCGTCCT